CCAAATCTGTGGGTTCATCTTCTTCAACCTCAGCTTCATCATCTTCATCCTCAATTACTGAATCTTCCACTGTTTCTTCATCCTCTGTAAGATCTTGAGCTACTGCTAATGAGCCTAAAAAAATATAAAACAACCAGTCATCCTTTACTCTGAAATACCGATTTTTTTTAAGATCAGGTATATGCAAGAAAATTTTCCTCTGGGAGTTACTCAATCTCCCAGTTTACTGTACTGATGCCAAATGATAAAGCATCAAAGAATATTTATATTATTTTATTTGACTAGTAGTCTTAACAACTGCATGTTAATTTAATGAGCAATACTGTTAATTTTAAAAAGTACCCATCTGGTGGAAAAATGAACTACAGAAACTAAAGATGCCCTTAAGCCCAAATATTATATTATAATAAAGAACTTCAAGCAGTTTTGTTAAGCAAATTAAGGAAAGTTAATTTTGCTGCAGAGATAAGAAACATCTAAATTTAATCCCTATCATTAACCATATAGAATCAAAAGAAGGTGCAGAAAAAGTAGCACCCTCAGTATCTACATAAGAAACAATGTTACTAAATTTGATTATAGCTGAAAACTCTTAGAATTTGATAGCATGTAATTCCTAGGAAAAAAAAATGTCTGTATCATCTCCATGGTAGGCAGTCCTGTGGCTCAAAGGAGTAGGGTACCGGCCCCATATACCGGAGGTGGTGGCTTCAAACCCAGCCCCAGCCAAAAACTGGCTTGTAAACAAGACATTGTTCAGTAAAAAATACATGGGTATCTTCAAGGTTGATAGAAAAGAAAGAATTCAATTATTTTCATGTATGGCTTTAAACATGAATTAAGATTTTATTTTTCCCCATACTTATTATCACAAAGCAAAAGTATAGCCATAAAGCCAAAAATATATAAGTCATATGCTATTAGTCAAAAATAGTCTAAACAAGTCACATTAAAAGATTTTCAGAAAAAAGAAAAACCTTTCAGGCCAGACCCTCAAAAAAAAAAATCCAATTGCTAGTGTCTGCCAATATTTCTCAGAAAAAAATGATGATGTGGCAATTCAGAAGAGAAAAAGTGTGGGAAGACAAGTAAGTATATGTGATACCCAGGAAAAAACTATATGTTAACAACAATGCATTTAAGTCTTTTCCACATCCTTGAGTTCTTACTGGCTGTTACGATTTCTGCAAAATATTAAAAAACATTATGAATCAAAAAACAGCTAAATAGTGCAGACATAACTTACAAGTAATTTCCAAAAACCAGTAAGAAAAATACCCATACCTGACATCATAATTTAAAGTTGTAGCTAAATTTGAGGACTTCTGAATACATATAATGACCTTTCACACTATGTTTCAGTAGGTATTAAACAATTTTATTATCTTAATGTTAACCAATAACAATTTTGTCCCTAGAAAGAATAACAACTTCTAACTAGAAAGACTGAGAACATTTTCTTGAAAGAAAATCCATTATGCATAAAGAATGTTTACAAAATATTAATCCAGTTTGGGAAATGAGTTGATGTTTCTTAAAAAAAGATGATTTTTAAACCTAGAAAGCATAGTCTAGATTCTAAACCAGATTTGTCAAATTTTCTTTCAAAAGCTAAATGAGAGCAAACCAGCAATCAACTCCTAAAAGGAAAGAATCTCTTTTTAAACCTGCAGATGAATTTCTTAACAGTTCTGGTTAATCCTCTGGCTTGGTTTCCTATCTACTGAACAGAAACAGGTCACTTCCTTTTTCTTTGTAAAACAACTGGCTGTCATCATCATTCATTGGGACACTCTGCTTGCTTAAACTTACAGAATGGAAAGCAATTCTAGTGATCGTTTGGACTTCTTTAACTTTACAAATAAGAAAATCGAAGTTCACGACAAAACCATGCAAGAAAACAAGCTGCCACATATTTTTGTTCTGCTATCTTCACACCAGATTAACTGTTGGAAAGAATAAACCTATATAAAGAACAAAACTCTAAGTATACAATATTTTTCCAGCACAATACGATGCTTCCACAAACAAAATATGGTTACATGAAAAGAGAAAGAGGGCAAAAGAATGAGACATCATCCCACAGGGATTCTTCAGTCTCCCTCGCAATACGAACGGATAACGGTGTATGAGCATGGCGAGCTTCTCTGAAATCAAGCCTCCGGGTAACTCAGGAATCAGGTGGTGGCAAACGAGGCAGGTGACCGTAAAAAAATATGCTCTAACAGTTTCGATGTGTAGAAAACAAAGGTTTCAGCAAATGAATGAAGGCTGACTCCCAGCGTGGAAGCTAAAGACACGTCAGCCCAGAGTGCGAGAGGATGGGGGTGGAGCGGAGCTGGAGGCGGCCAAAAGAAATAAACTGGGCTGTGGTGCGCGCGGAGCGCAGCAGTGCCCACGGTCCCCTTGCCTGCCTCCCACCAGCCGAGGACACTCCGGCTCTGGGCCACCCCTGCACGAGTGGGTCCAGGGCCAGAAGAGCAAACCCAGCTCTCGGACGTCCACAAGGCAAGGTCGCCAGGACACTGCCTGCACCCGCGCTCCGCGTGGAAGGAACAGAGGCCGCAGCGGGTCTCGCCCTGGCACGCGCTGCGGCCCCCTATTACGAGCTGGGAACTGAGGAGGAGAAGAAGAGAAGCTGGCGGGGTGGACGCCGACCCCAGGAGCAGGAGCAGCCGTCGCCTCCAACTTCAAACTTGCCATCGCTGGCGTCTTCTTTCCGGCCAAACCCCGTCGCCCACTCCCCTCGCCTCACCTGTGGGGCCGCCTCGGAGCAAGACAGTGGCGGGGAACACGAGCAAGAGAAGCAGAAGCAGGCGGGGGAGGAGTCTCATGGCGCGGACAGTCCGGTGTCCAGTCCCCGTCCGCGAGGGTTCTCAGCGGCTCCGGCAGTAATGGCGTTACTCTTCATCCGGGCTCCAGGCGGGGAGGGGCGGGGCACGTACACGCAAGGGCCCTCGCTACGCCCCCCCCACCGAAGGGCGCCGCCGACGTGGCTGGTACGCGCTCGGGGTGGGGAGGGGCGGGCTGCCAGCGGAGTCACGTGGCCGGTTGCCGGCACTTCTGGAGTTCCCGCGAGACTCGGTCTTCCGCCGCAGTCACTGGCTGGACGCTAGTGCTTTTCCGCTTGTTCTGTCCTACCCTTTCCTCTCAATTAATTAACGTCCTCAGTGGTTACTTAATTTTAACGTCCACCTGATAACAGTGATATAAGGAACATGAACTGCCTTTAAGAGGCATTTAAAAGCAAAAACAAATTTTTGGAAGATAACATTGTCCCCCCCCTCCAAAGACCATTAAAATATATACAATGGAAAATATTCTTCCCCCGTCTGCCCACAGGCACACTGTCCCACAGTTAAAGGCAATTCTGAGATTCCTATGTGACATTCCAGACTTAGAGATCACTTAGAACAGTACCTGACATTTAGTAAACTTTGGGTAATTATACAATGGGTGGAGCAATGTGTACAGTTTTATTTCCTCCTCATCTATTTTGGGCTTTGGGCTTTGGCCTGGTCCAGTACTCTTGTACTCAAGAGTACCTTAATTTCATGATATTAATGAATACCAAGTAGGTTTGGACTGGACCAGTATGAGATGTCATCTTCTAGAGGATGGAACAAATGTGGAGAACGTTGTCAGTCACTGTTCCTTTCATGTATCCCTATACGCTGTTTATGTGTATCATTTCTAAGGAGAAGACAGACCCAGAGAGGTTAGCAATTTACCCCAGGCTTCCTAAAGGTAACAAATGGCAAGTGCAAGATTTGAACAAGGCAGCCTGGTTCCAGACCCCACACTACTGGCCTAGGACTCCTGCTGTTCTACTTTCGTCTCTGCTTAAGGTTTCATTGTCCTGGGGTCCCTGTAAAGCCAGCTTTCTAGCTGCTGCTGCCACCACTGTCTACTTCTGTCTGCTAAAATCACAACCTGATAGTGTTGGGCTGAATTAGCTTAACCCCATTCCACCAGGCCACCAGTGTGGGTGTTGCTACTCCTAGAGCACCCTGCAGAAGTTGAGGGCCTCCCCAAGAGGGCATTCTCTCTGTCCTTTCTCCTGTGCCCAGCTACCCATGCTGCCACTCTGCTCAAAGCCAGGAGGGCTGCTGACCCTGTTTTGATGCAGCTGAACCTTGCTGAGTTCTCCACAGTCAGGAATAATCTCCCTTGTCTACTCTGCTGCACTATTTCCTGAGTTTCAAATGAGACTTGCCCCCGGCTCCTGAAGTCTGAGGGTTTTTTTTAAAGAAACACACCCTCCTATTTAACTTGCTGCTTTCTCCTAGTTTCAGAAACAAACTTTGTACAAGGTAAAGCTATAGAACTCACGCTGTACTCACAATCATCTCTGCTCTTCATCACTGCCATGGGGGCATTTCACTACCTTTCTTTTTCTTTAGAGGACTGATTTCTGATGAAAAGGACTTCTCATTCCTTATGTTAAAGAGATTCCTGGTAGGTGTGTCTCATCAGTTCTTAGGAGATGTTTAGATGTAGCCTGAACCTATAGTTGTGAAACCGCAATGGGGTTTTGGTGTAGAGCCAGTTGCTTGTTGCACAAAGATCCAGTTATTCAGACAAGGATTGCCGAGGAAGAAAATAATTGTTTATATAATGTTTGTCTTGACAGCAAAACAGGAGAAACTGCCTCAAATCCATCTTCTTGACTAACAGAGATCTTGGCCTTTTAAAGGTGGGATTTATGCCTTGGGGTGAGTCATGATATAACTAACCAGAGGCCTTGCACTTTGGGGCAGGTTATTGAGGAATGGTGACACTTGCCTCCAAGTACCTTGGGCAGGGGCCTTTAGAATCTCAACAACTTTGTCTTGCAGAACATCCACCATTTCTAGGCAACAACTCAAAAAGTCAAGCAGTCAGTCAAGGGGCAGGATTTTATATGGGTCATTGAAATTTGTACGTTGGGCCTGCTACCCTACGAGAATACTTTTGTCTTAAGCCGGGACTTCCACTCCAATGATGTCATCAAATGGTTACTCATGGGTTTTATTTGGGACTTGAATTTTAGACAACCAGCTAATTAAAGGTGCAGCAGGAACAAATAAAAGTGTGTCTACTTAAGATGTTACTGATGGGACAAACTTAGTGAAAATAAAAACAGATAAGCGGAAGACACAGACCTGTATGACAGTCCAATTAGTAAAAAAAATCAGTAGCCTTATGGATCAGGGAAGTTAAATGCTCACCCTAATCTGAGTGCTGACCAATTCCGCATCACTATGCTCCACATTTTCCCCGTAATAAGCAGCTTTCCCTCTGTGCCCACCCAGAGCTCTTCACCTACTGGGTTCCAATCCTTAATTTACAAAATTAAGAATTCCATCTATTGATTTATTTCAGTCCTCTTAGTGTTTTCTGCACATTCTCTCGCTCTCAACTCTGTACCTATCTCTTGAGGGTATTTGTTTTCCAGAAATAGTCCGCATCCTGGTTACTCCTGTTTATACAGCTCAGGCAAACTGCCTTTGATTCTCCACTTCTGTCATTTTATTCCCTTAGAATTTGTAACAGCTAGCAGTTCTTTCCCCTGTGATTACCTAAGATTTCCCTCCCATCCTTATGTTTATTATGCCCTGGATTCTGTTCCTTTTGTATGCCTCCAGGCAACTGTGAGGCCAAAGAATTCCTTTATGTCCTTTAAATCTTCACATAACTGTCTCTTTCGCAGTGAGACTCACCCTGACCTCTTGCTTTAAAAGTGTAATCCTTCTGCTCCCACACTGCTCTCTCGTTTCCACTGCTCTCCTCTTGTTCATAGCACTTTTTACCTTCCCACCCAATATAGTTCAGTGCAGGTGTCCTCAAACTATGGCCCCTGGGCCACATGCAGCCCGCCTAGGACATTTATCCGGCCTGCCAGGTGTTTTTGCCGCTGATGCCTGTCCTGCTTAGCAGCCGACTCATCCCAGAGCCCCCAGTCTGGCCCTCAATGGTCTGAGGGACAGTGAACTGGCCCCCTGTTTAAAGTTTGAGGACCCCTGGTTCAGTGTGTCTCCAGTTTGTCTCTGGTCCTATTGGTGAACAGCTTGCAGCAGGGGTCTTTGTGCCTTTGATCATGTTACAGAATAGTGCCTGACACCCAGTAAATATGTGTTGAATCAATAAAGGTACAGTATTGTTACCAGTCACATATTTCCTCCATAAATTTGAACCCAAGTTTGATTGTAGACCTAATAAGAAATGAGAAAACATTGAGCAAAACCCCCTCCCCCAAAGCTATGTTCATTGTAACTTTGCAAGCAAAGACTTAAGTGGTCTTTCTCATAGCAAGGGCTAAAAAAAGAATTAGGTTTGTTGTACTATACTTCTGAGGAGAAAAATCTTTTGTGATTCTTATATAAAGGGGGAGCTGTGGGAAAAGGAAACAGGAAATAAAGACAGTACAGGGAGTGCTAGCTCTCCCACCCGCTCCTCAGGGAGAAGGAGGGCCTCCAGTCCTAACCCCATGCACGCCTCACTGAAGAGAATGGGCAAAATCGCAACCACATAACCCCCCACTTACCTGTATCTGCACATTCAGGCTCTGCCCTCCCTTCTGTTATAGTAAAACAATATTTATGGGCTTATCAAAAGCCAACCCCCATTTGTGGTTTAGGTCCTATCTCTGCTCCAAGGACATGTGGTTTTGAAAATGGTCCTCTCTTCTCTACCTCACAATGAATTTCTACCTCTCTAATTCATTGCTCCCGTCAACGGACACTTTAATATTGCCTGTCTTAAAAAACAAAACTGTTCTGTGGCCTCTGTTCCTCTCCAGCAAGTCTCATTTCTCTGCTCCCAGGCAAAGTAAGATATTATTATTTCACCTCTCCATTTCCTTCTTAGTCTATTCCAATTAGGCTTTTATTTATTTTTTAATGCTCCATTAAAACTAGCTAAATCTGATGGCCCTCATCCGAACCTCCCCTCTTCCCATTCTTGAGCATTTGTCTCTCTAGGCTCAATGGACGCCCTACTCTCCTGGTTTTCCTCCCATCTCAGCAGCCCCCTCTTCTCCACTGCCTGGCCCCTGAACGTACGCCTGCTAGAATGCTTATAGTCAGCCCTCCACATCCCATGTTCTGCATCCTCAGATTCAACCAACCATGGGTTGAAAATATTCAAGAATAAGTAAATAAAAATAACAACAAAAAATATGATATAACAACTATTTACATGGCATTTATGTTGTTTTAGGTATTACAAGTAACCTAGAGATGACTTGGAGTATACAAGAGGGTATACATAGGTTATATACAAATTGTACCCCAGTTTCTGAAAGGAACTTGAGCATCCATGGATTTGGGTAGCCACAGGCATTCCTGAAACCCATCCCCTTTAGATACCAAAGGATAACTGTACTACGTAAGGCTGGAAGAACCACTTGCTTACGTTCTGTGAGAGGGGAGAACACGCCATTTACCAAAGTGAAGTAGATGGAATGTGCTGGTGAGAAAGGCTGAGCAGATCAGTGGCCAGCTGTGCTGTGGAGGTCAGGCTCAGGGCAAGAGATGCTGTTGTGGAACTGGGCTGACAGCAATGGGGATGAGAGGATGAGAATGGAGGCCAAGTGGCACCACGAAACTGTGAGAAATAAGGTAGGCATAACAACCTCAATGAGCTACAGAATGAGAATAGGAGAGAGACGATGGAGAATGGGCAGGGGCGGCAGCCCCCAGAAAACTACGGTCTTAATAATAGTTGATAAAGCATGCTCATATTTGCAAACAGGTACCCAACAAGAATGTTGCTCTCTATATACAATTAAAGAAATCAAGACAGATCGGGGGCCGAGGGCAGTCATCCCAATAACAAGTTATGATCCTGCTATTGTCTGAATGTGTCCCTTAAAATGAACATGTTGAAAGAAACTTAAGCCCCAAAACAATAATATTAAGAAGTGAGGCT